AGGAAAAAAAAACGTAAAATGTAATGAGCTATCTTCCATCACGGTGTAGCCATGGCTGCTCTCATCTCAGGTATTCCCTCTCCAGTTTTCCCGAATTTTCCATTTCACGCATTCTTTTCAAGTTCAGATTTGCCACCATGCCTTCAACTTTCCTTCAAATTTTTCATGATTTTCCTCGATTCTGAATCTCTGTTGTGTTTTGCTTTCTGATTTGATTTTCTTTGTTTCTTTTAGCAGATGAGCTAGGTTAATTATCTGGAACTTTCATGGCTTCGCATAAGTACAATAACGATTTGTTGGTGGATAGGAGAGACATAATCAGTGCGATTTTGAAATCCGTCGGTCGGAATGAGCAGGGTTATCGGGCTGGCCGTCGAGGAGGAAGGAGGCATGGTCGGATTTTTAAACCCAGATTTTTGCATTGGGTTCTTTTGCTTGCACTGCTGTTATTCTTGTGTTTTGCGGTCTTTGGAACCAAATTGGACATTCATGGTGAGATTTTTAAGTCTAGTTTAGCTCACTTAGTTTCACTTTCAAGCATGCAGTTTTGAGTTCCATTAATTGTGTTATATTCTGAAGATACCTCATTCTGTTGATACATTCAGCTTTTTTAGAAAGATTACGGAATGATTATATGTATAATAAGTATGATTATTACTTTTTTGTTAAACATATGCTTGAGTAGTTTTTGGTTTATGTGTTAATCTTTTGGAAAATATGATTTGTGATAATTGAAATTGCCCACATTATTGAAGCTCCTGCAGATCTTTTCCCAATAATTTTATGAATCACAGGTTTTGAATGATTAGCAAAGTTAGCTTCTACAAAACCTTTTTTTTTTTTTTTCTCTTTTTTAAAAGAGAGAGAGAATGTGGAGTAGTTTCATTAAACCAAAAACGCATAGGGTATCTACAAATTATTCCTTGTCATACTTAGGGAAGTAACTTTGTATGCACAGCCCCTTTGGGAGACTTTTGGTTTTGTATACTCCTAACATTTCATTAGCAAAATCTTTTTTCTTCCCATTTATACAATTTTGATAAATGTACTTTCAGGTAATGTAGAAAATAGCCTTCCTTTATTGGTAGAAGGGCATGAACAATTTCCAGGCTCTGATTTTGTGACACCACCACGAAAAGGTGATTTTGTGGCACCACCATGGAAAGGCGATTTTGTGGCACCACCACGGAAAGGCAATTTTGTGGCACCACCACGGAAAGGCGATTTTGTGGTGCCACCACGAAAAGGCAAGCGTAAGCAACGTAAGTCTAGTCCCTTTTATCAATCTATTTATTCCTTTATGTTTGCTTGGCCAGGCTAATCTGTTTTGGTGCCATATTGTTTCTGAATTTCCCTTTGCTTTTGTCAGAATATATGAATTTCAATTCTCAGATTTTAGGAATTACTTTATTCGGCATCTTTTACACTTAAGAAGCTTAAAATCAATGCATCTCTGGTAGAAGATTGCAGTATTAAAATGTTCCATTTCATTACAAACTATTGATATCATTATACAATCTATTGACACCAAGCATTGAGTTGCATCCTACATGAGATATTGTCCACTTTGGCCCGTAGGGGTCAAGGTTTTGTCCTCAAGAGGGCTCTCATTGGGAAGGGGTTGGTCCTGCTTTTAAGCCATAGCTACCTTGATTTACCTTCAATATGGGATTCTAACCTTACTCCACCATTACTCCATTAGCCTCCAACCAAGGGAGTTGTGGCATAATGATTTGTTGAAGTGTGTTGGTGGGACACTGAAAAATGGTCTGAGCAAGCTGTAACAGAGAGTATTGACAAATAAAGCATAAGGCTAAAAGAAAAATGTAGTATCTCTAGGATCTATACAATCATATTTATGATGCTTTAAGTAGTCTTGCTGCAAGGGTAGGAATTCCTAGATGGACCAGGTTTCTTGCCCATATTGAACCCTGTCTTCTAGTATTGGAATTCCTAGATGGACCAGGTTTCTTTCCCCTGTTGAACTTCGGCTTTTGGTATTGGAGTCCATGTACAAGTCCTAGTCAAAATTTGGGTATAACAAAACCCCCTTTTATCTTGTTATGCCAGATGTGAGAAACTCTCAATAAAGTCTAAAATGTTCTCAGGTTTTGATAGTCCAACTAGTATTTTTTTCATTTCTTCATTTCTTAATTGTTTCATATTTTTTTCCAATTGAGGTTAATTTTTCCTTTACCTATTCTGGAGTAGTTTCTATAAATATGAGATAAGCCCAATTTTGACAGAAGTCCAAATATAAGCTTGAAGAAAAGGTATTACAAGGATATACAACCAAAAGATCTTCTGTGAAAAATCATCAACCTAATTTATAATTTTATATGTATCAATTGTACAAGTCAATTAAGAATCTTTTTTTGAATCTGCTTGCAGCTAGAGTTGCATTTCCAGATTTAAAGAAGCAGTATCTCATAGTGCTATGAAAAATTGTTGTTTCTTCTTGTACAATAGGATAACAAGAGAGCTTAATCATTTTTTATAAACAGGTGCCAAAAAAAAACTTGAGTTCTAAAAATTTTTAGTTTCATTGAGAGAATTAAAAAGTACAGTACATGGTGAAAGATGGATGAGAACCAAAAGTATAGAATATTACAAAATTTATTGGTCTTTAATTTTTGACAGTTTTAGCAAAAAGAATATAAAGAATTGATTGCTTTGATATTCTTTTCCTTTGCTGCTCCACCAATTTGGATCTGTATCTCTGGCCCATAGGATATAAAAGAAATCTATATCTGATAATTTCCTTTGACATAAATGTTAGTTTTGGACATTTATTACAAGTTTTGATGCTGTGTAAGAATGCTAGGATTCAGCACTACTGCAGAAAATCCTACAAATTTGAGTAAATTAAGGGGTCTAAAATTTCTTCTTGGTTATATCATTCCTTTAAGATGCAAGCTATTACAGAACAGTGATGAATTACATACAATGGTTGAAGCTTCTGGCCAGTGACTAACATTACTAGAAGCTTCTGGCCAGTGACTAACATTACTAGTAAATTTTTTTTTCAACCATATGATGATGATTATCTTTAGATTTATGTTTACTGAAGTTTCATTTGGTAACCATTTAATTTATCTTGTATGTTTGAAGATTTAAATTTTTAAGAGACCAAGTTTTGGCAAAGTATTTCTTTAATTTGACACTATTCAATGTTTTTTCATCCACATATCACCGTCTCAGATTTTCCATGCGAAGTTCAGTTTTCAGCATTAGTTGATGATATTCTTGAGCCCAAGGATTATATGAATTTGACACAGTTTTCCCTGGAGTATATTGACAAAGAGGAGAAACCTTCTGGAGCTAACTTATTTGAACCTAGATTTGGGGGACACCAGACTCATGAGAAAAGAGAGCAATCCTTTTATGCAAGAAATCAAACTATTCATTGTGGTCTTGTCAAAGCACCTCAGGGATTTCCAAGCACTGGATTTGAATTGAGTGAAAATGACAAGGAATACATGAGTACCTGTCAGGTTGTGGTATCTTCATGCATTTTTGGTAACTCTGACTTTTTAAGGAGACCCACCAGCAAAATGGTAAGGGAAATTGTCAATCAACAGCTTTTGTTTAATTATGTAACTAAATGTTTTTTACAAACTTCATAATTAATGTAGTTATCCAATCATATTCTTTTCATTTTCAACTTCAAATGTTCTATTTAATCTTTCAATTAGGAATAAAAATCTTCAGTATAAACTTGAAGATAATATGCCAGATGACAAGAGCAGAGGATTTCCTTCAAGTAAAAGCAGATAAATAGGTGGATTCGTCCCCTTCCCCTTTTTCCTTTTTCTCTTTTCTTCTGGCATGAGTGGGTGGAAGCTTTTTGCTCATATGATGACTTGAAGAGGCTCATATTTTCCTTTTTTACCGTTTCCCCTATCATCCTGTTACGTAGATAGCTTCTTCCTATTACCCTCTCCTTTCCTCTATTTTTCTCTTGTTTTCCTTTTCCTTTTTCCTTTCTTTTTATTCTTTCATCCACTGCCCCTGCATCAGACAGACTTTTCACGAGTTATTTATTTAATTCTGGGAAATTATCTATGGCTTTATTGTCAGTGATGCAGGTTGCATGTTTTTATAACTTTTGCAGATTAGTGAATTTTCCAAGAAAAATGTTTGTTTTGTCATGTTTATGGATGAGGATACACTGTCAAAACTGTCTTCAGAGGGACATACACCTGATGAGAGAGGAAATATTGGTCTGTGGCGAATTGTGGTTGTGAGGAATTTACCATACTTGGACATGCGGAAAACTGGGAAGGTGCCAAAATTTTTATCACATCGCCTCTTCCCTTCTTCTAGGTAATGCTTGTTCTCTAGTTTGTAAACGCTGTGCTTCTGCATCATACTCTGACCATGTTTTTTATTCAAATACTCTCCAATATGTTTTCCTTCAGGTATTCAATTTGGATTGACAGTAAGATGCGACTTAATGCTGATCCAATGCTGATTATTGAATTCTTTTTGTGGAGAATGAAAGCAGAGTATGCCATTTCAAGTCATTATGATCGCCGTTGTGTCTGGGAGGAGGTACTGCAAAATAAGCGTCTAAATAAGTACAACCATACAGCCATTGATGAACAGTTTGCATTTTACAAATCTGATGGCCTCAAGAAGTTTGACCTTTCAGACCAAAATACTTCTCTACCAAGTTGTGCGTTTCTTGGTGTCTTTTTATGTTTGGAGATCAATTTTCTCTTTCATCTGTGCTTCCTTAGATCCTCAATATTATTTTGTGTTTAATTTACTCTGCAGATGTGCCTGAGGGATCCTTCATCATCCGTGCCCATACACCAATGTCCAATTTATTTTCATGTCTATGGTTCAACGAAGTCGATCGGTTTACCTCACGTGATCAACTAAGCTTTGCATATACCTACTTGAAATTGAGGAGAATGAACCCAGATAAACCATTCTATCTTAATATGTTTAAGGTGATGTCTACATTACATGAAAATTATAATCTATTTATCTTTTTATCAGAACATCACAGTGGAAGCACTGGCACTGCTGTTAGATTAGATATTACTAATAACTGAATTAGTGTTGCTGCTACAGTGCTACTAATGCATGCCTTCTTTACGTTGCAACTTTATTCGATCTATTTTAGCTACTATGATTAAGCTGAATATCTTATTAAACTCATTTATTGGAGACATCTATAAATATATATTCATTTGAAAGTTTTCTAATAACCGTCTCTTCAAAGCTGTACTTTTTGTGGATATATATAAAAGCAGATTTAGTTGATAGATTTCTAACAGCCTTTAAATCTAATTGTCTCTTGAAGACAGACCTTAAGAGAATATCAGTGAGCAGATGCATTGATGAATCTGGTCTTTGTGGCTTTTCCAAAAGAAGGGCCTTCTGATTTTTGTGAAATCTTTTTGAACTTCATAGCTGTTTTCTTTTTATTATGCTGCATAGACATGAATGCATAGTTAATTTTTTGGATTTCATGTGGAATGGTAAATTACTTGCTGAAATACTGGTAAATATGGCTATTCAGGATTGTCAGCGCAGGGCACTTGCAAAGCTATTCCACCATCGGACAGAGCCATCTTCTCCTCCGCCTCCTTGATCAATCAGGTATCATGAACTCATGCCTATTTACTACACATCTATACCTTAACTGTAGACTTATTAAAAAGTTAAATTCCGATGGAAAATTACTTGTGCCCTTTAATGTTATATTAGCCATGCAATAATATGATTTGTTTCAAGCATTATTAAATTTTCTTTCTTATAAATTCAGATAAAAAAATTTCTGTTGCCATTAATGGCTTTCTTGTTCTTTGATTTTGCGGTAAGAAGTTACTAGAAAACTTCTTTTTGGCATGTCTTTTTAATTTTAAGGGATTCTGTTTAATGGTGGCTGGTATTGACAAGTTCCACCTAGACTAAATTAGCTGGATAGTGATGACCTGAGGAGAATAATGGCTTGATGATTACTTGCTGAGGGACTGAAGGAAATTAAATTGAATTTGAATCCTTGTCCTGATCTTATAGTAAACTTCTGCATTACACCTTGCTTGTGGGATGTTGTTTCTTTTCTTTTTTTTATATATAAAAGCATTTCTTATAAATTGATTGTGAGAAAAAGAAAATGTAGAATCTATAAGAGTAAAGCAGAAAAAAAAAAAAAAATCTTGAGTTTATTCTGGGTTTTACCACCATCTTTCTAAAACCACATTACTCCTTTCATCTGAAAATCGAGCACAAAGTTTGAACCCATATTAGGTTAATTATGGTGAAAAGAAAAGTAAAAGGAAAATAATTGCTTGAGCCATGGTCTCTGCATCCCACCTCTCCAAATGGTGAAATGAAAAGGAAAAGGAAAAAAACTGCTTAGCCATTGTGTTGGCATCACACCTCTCTAAATGATAACTTCCTTTTCCTCATAAGAGATGAGAAATTAGAGCAGTGACCAAATTATACTGTCATATAGAAAACTCTACTGGCTGTCAGCTGTGATTTGAGCACACAACCAAAAGAGGAGCACCATTGTTAAATTTGGAGGTTTAGGTTGCATGAATGATTTGTTATGAACAATTTTAGTTGAGAGAACATGCATACCAATGATAACAAAATGAATATCGAACTATCAAAAAGAATATTAATCTATATGCTCTTAAATGTTATTTATAAAAAAATCTGTGCTAATTTCTGAGAGAGAATGCAATCTATGCAGGTGCATGTGTAATGAAAGCAAAAACTCATACCACCGGAAGTACATATATGCTTCTCATCTTGTTTCGAGGAATCCAGTTTGGTGGGTCTTTTAGGTTTGGCTGGAACTAAACCCACATCACTTTCTTCATCAGAGACATGACAAGGTCGGGCTACACTGGTGGTTAATCAGAGAAGGAACCTGTTCAGCCTTGTAAAATTGAATGACTGGTCCCCAATTTGAGGAAGACCTGTTGTTCAAGTTTAACTTTTGTCGGCTGTGAGAATCCGAAGGCTGCAAATTGGGTGGATGAGTGGAGCAAGGTTTGTCCAATTATTTTCATAACTGTGGGTGTCTATTTTTTTGATGACCATGCAGGGACTGGCGGATACTGTATTTATATACTGTTTAATTTCATGTTTGAGTTCCAAGCCCCCCCCCCCTCCCCCCCCCTTTATCTGGAAAGGAAAAATGGAATAAGGAGAGATGGTGATAGCAACAGAGGTTCCCTAATACTTTGTGTGTTTCTTTCTTTTGGTGCATGCTAAAGTTTTCCAGAGATGAATGGTTGAATGAAAAGCATTGAAGGTAGCTAGAGATATCTATCATCCTCCTTAGTATGATGATTTTTTGTTAATAGCTGTTTTGCTTTCATTGTAAATTGTGAGGGATGAAAATATGCAGTCTAATGTTGGATGTGATCTCCCAGTCCCATTTCCGTTCCAATCCCTACTCAGGTACTCTTGTAGTCATTTAGCGTAGATATGAAGCTGGTTGGGTTGTTTAAAACCCATAAACGACACCGCACTTCTGTTATTGAGTCATTGTATATATCCTTTTTCATTCCCGTCATTTAGCTTGATTTTTCAGACACAACCGTATAAACTAAGAATTGGTTTAAAATATGCATAGTTATAAAATAAAAATTATTAGATAAAAAGAGTTTTAATATCAGACATCTGCCTATTCAATTAATAAAATTATGATTAAAATTATGTAATTTAAAATAATTTAAATTATATAATATTTTTTTATAAATTAAATACTTATTTTGTACCTTAGTTGCAATTTTTTGGTATTTATAGTATGTTTGGATAAAATAGATAAAAGAGAGAAAAAGAAGAAATTTTTTAATTAATTAAATTATAACATTTTAAAAAAATTATAATTTATTTAGTCATATAAAATTTGTCTCTTCTTTTTTCTTTTTCATTCTTCTTAATTATCGACTTTCAATACCATGCCCCTCAGTAACTCTTATTGGAAATGAAGATTAAAGGATTGGTTTTCAATAACGCTTTCTCAGTGCTCTAAATTTTAGTTTTTGTGTTTTTTATTATTTTAATATTATATAAATACCAAATATATTAAATATATTTTTAAATATTAAAGATTCAAAAAATATATATATATATATATTTTTTTTTTTTTGGGTTTTAAGATTCAATCTATTTACGGCTGCAGCAGCTATAATCAGTGTTGTTGATTCCGTTTTGTGTCGGCTAGTATAACCCGTAGATTTAATTTCATTTCGGTTAACTTTCACCCATTTCAGTCAAATTTTGATGTACCGTCGATATTTCGACGTATCGACCGTGTTGATTACCACTTTAAGATTTTTTTTTTTTTTTGAGAAGAAAGATCCCCTTTTTCTGGTGGCTGCCGAACCCCTCTGATGAAAGTGATGAAGGTGCCAAACCCCTTTTCGGTATTTCGACCACCGGTGATGAAGGTGGAAGCTGTGATGATGATGAGACGCAAGAAGATTATCAAGATCGGAGTCCGCACCGGGGCTTGCGGTTAGATCTGCTTCGTCTTTTCTCCTTTTTTCTTTTCTTTTTTTTTTTTTGGCTGCTTGGTGATTAGTGAGGGTGATGGCGATGAGAGTGATGATCAGCAAGAGGATGGTGAAGATCGGAGGTGATGGTGGCGGTCACGGATCTGCAGAAGGGAGAAAAATCGAGAGGCTTGCCTCTTTTTTTCTGTTTTCTCCTTTTTCTTTTTCTGTTTGCCGCCCCCTTCCTGATTCTGTCGTCTCCTTCCCCCTTTAAAAGAGAGGAAACTAGGGTTTTCTATTATTGCTAAATTTGGGTTTTGATGGGCTGGTTTATGAAATTGGGTTGAGACTTGGACTAAATTGTCGGTGGGCTCAATATTGGGTTTTGAGCTGGATAATAGGGTTTATCTTGGTAGATTTCATCCTCAATTTTTTAATTTCTTCGGTTGAGTCTTTTTCTTTTCTGTTTTTTCTTGAACTTCTTTCCCAAAATTTTTTTACAGCAATAAATTTAAAATAAAAAGTTTTGATGTCCTATACTATCATTTTAGTAACACAATCGAATAAAAGTTATGATATCTTTTTTTGAAAATAAAGTTATGGTATCTTATTCATATTATTTCAGCAATATTTCAGTAACAAAATCGATACTAGGTGCACTTGGCCCGTGTGGCTCAGTGACTAGAGCCACTGAAAAGTGCACATCCCTCTCTTTGGCTGGGTTCCGAACCCGACCCATGACAAAACTATTCAAAAAAAAAAAAAAAAAAATAGAATCTCTAAAAGATTCAGAATCAACATACTGATTTATTTGTGCATGTTAAAAAAAAAAAAACCGATACTAGGCTATAACACCATCAATCTGACCTAAACTAAAAATAAAGTACCTCTCAAAACCGCGTGCTTCAGTGGCTTCTCGTTCCCATCCCATAGAAAGCACCAGCCGCTTCTTTCCCATCTGATATCCACAGCAGACGCACCGGTATAAATTAAACACTGCTTGCTGCTAACTTTTTTTTTTGTGTGTTCCATCCGTTTTCCACAAATTCCAGTGCTTGTTTCTGTTTCAGCTATGTCGGGAGATTCTTGCTCCCAGAGACCCTTGTTTGGAGGAGCAATTTCTAGTACGTTTCCTCTTAGGTTTCAGGTACGATCCTTTTTTATCTATTTATTTTTATTTGTGCAATTTTATCATGTTTTGTGCTATGGGGAAACTAATGGGTCGTCAAAATTGTGCTGTTCGTAGGATGTTAGTAACATTCGTCAAGTCCCTGATCACCAGGTGAGTTGCACTTTTTTTCTTTTTACTTTTTTTAAGGAATAAAAAAACCTTTTAAAAAAAAAAAAAATTATTCTGGGTATTTCGAGTTATTGATAAATTGGTGTTTGTATATGCAATTGAAGGAGGTATTTGTGGATCCTGCTCGTGATGAGAGTTTGATTGTTGAGCTATTAGATTACAAGCCTGATATTGGGGATAATGCGAGTGCAGCTTGGTTTCTTCAAGACCTTTCCAATGAACAAGACGCTGAAGGATTCACGGTAACTTTGATTCTGTTATGGCTTTATGTGTGTTTGGTGGTTGTTTTCTGTTACTCATTTGGAATTGTGTCCTTGTGGAAAGTAAAGATTAATCAAAAAAATTTATTCTTGAATTTTGCTTTTGGACTCATTGTAGTTGATGGCTAAATCATTAATTTGTCAATGAAACACATTACTCACAATTTTTTCTTTTTTTAGAAAAGAAGTTTACATTGTCTATGAATTTGATCATATACTGTTACTTCCTAGGGTAACATTGTTGGTGAACAATGGTAATGATTAATGAACTACTAAACATGAGTCCTAGTTCGGTTCAGTTCAGTTTCTTTTATAGAGATGTTCTAGGCTGGTAGATGTCATTAGTTTAGCAGGGACAACTCTATCCATCATTGAGGTGTCAACCTTAGAGCTGACAGTCGGTGATGCTGTGATTAGTTTATACGGTTAATAAGGTCCAGTTTAGAATGCTGTATGAATCTAGTGAGGTAATTCATTTGGAATTTGCAACTTTGAGATTGTTGCCAGTGAATCTGATTTAAAAGCTATATCTGCTTATATTGATTGATTATAGAAATATTTGTTTTTTATGACATACCCTGTTGCTGTTGTCAAATTACAAAATAGCACTTCATGTGTGCATGTTAGATCAATGATCAATCACAAAATGATAAAACAGAATTTATGCCTTTGAACCATTGGCTTTGCTGCCACTGCAAGTATGTGAAGAGTTTTCAGCTGCAACAAACTTGATATTATTCATCAACATGTAGGAAAAATTCCTTCTTTACAATACCATGTTGTCTTGGTTCTAGGTTATGTTATAAGAAAAATGACTTACAGATGCTGACTGATAATTAGGATTAATGAGTTCTATTCTCTTGCATCATTATCTTCATATTAAGTTAGTTTTTTTAAATAACTGGAATATTTTTGACAACCTTTAGACGTTAGCTTGCAAATACAAGAAAAATAAGATGAAATAGTAAGATATTTTATACACTGAATTCTTAAAACCTAATTAACCGGTAATTTTTTAGATGACATTTCATTTTCTTCTTCTGTGTTCAGATAATTGAGCAGTCAGGAGTAGCCGAGGCCCCTGAATTATGTTACAGAAGCATCCCAGCTGTTGTTTCAACTGCTGTTGGCCAAATGGTATGAGGCAGCTTGATATTTTCCCCTTGCTAGATGTTTCATTATATTACTACTTTTGGCTTTTTCTTCTACATCATCCTAGACAATCATTGGTTTATCTTGTCGGCTTGTGTTATACCAATCTATTGTATTTTGTATGATTATACTCTTGCAACTCAATGCAATAGGTTTCATGACCTTTAGCTCCTGACTGCTTTGGATTTTTTGTGCTCTTCATGCTGGTATTTCCCTTTGATAGAATGTCTTCTTGAAAATATAAGTATACTTTTCAATTAATTCAGTCATCCTTAATAAAGCTCATTGAACGTAGAAGTTAAAAATTATGTGCTCTGTGTGTTGTCAAGGTACTATTTTCTGTAATCTGAACTTTAGGTTTCCTTGCATGCTATTACTTAGCTTTGAGCAATTTTATGATTTGAGTCGCTGCTATCTGGTTTTCCTAGTTTTGAAATTTTTATTTAAACAATGAAGAGGCATATCCAAAGTCCTTTAAAACCCATCAAGTAGTCTTTTTCTGCATGTTGGTGTTTTAATTTTAAATCGCAAAGCTAGAAGACAATCTGTAGGGATTATGATTGTATGTGGCTTTGGCTTGGCCAAATCCCTATTGATCTGAAATTTTCATGCACCTGTTGTCCAAACTCCAAAATGAATTTAAGTTCAGGAGTCTGAGTTCCTGTAAAGAGTTATACTTACAATGACCTGTCAGAATAGTAGTTATCGAACTTACATTTTTTTTTGAAATTTCAAATTTTCTGGACTTGCAAAGTTAGCTGACCTACCTTGCCTTGCCTCTTTCCCCTTCTTTCTTTTTTCTGCCCTTAAGATGACACCTTTGCTTGCTTATCTTCTGCCACTAATATCTTTGCAATGTACACATAGGGCATTTCTAAGGGACGGCAAGGAAGAGAAGCACAAAATATTGTAAAGGTAACTTTTATTTCTCTTTTCTTTTCCTCTGCTGCATTTAAAAGTGGTTTTAAAATGCTAACTGGGGTTATTGAAAATTTTCTTTTAGGTTTATTTGGCAAATGTACGTCTTAAGGAAGTTGCTACAGATGTTCTAATAACTGCATATGAGCCCCTCTTCATAAAGTGAGTATCATGGATATACGGCTATCAAATAGATCCCTCTTTGAAGAAATTCTCTTTGTGAAAACCCATGTGTTTTTGCTGTATGTTGGTTGTATTTCATCACACTTAGGAAGCCATGATTTTATTGTAGGCCAACCTTAAATTTGCAGCTCAAGTAATGTCAGGTTGATAAATTTTATGAACACTTCTGCTTTTGTTTTTGTGGTTGTAGCCCTTTAAGTGAAAGCACTAGTGCAGTTGGTTCTGGGTCAGCTGTTCCTGCCACACAATCTGGACTTGTGCCAATGGCTGATGTCTTTAAACTCGTGGTTACTAGCTTCAAAGTGAATGACTGGGGCCTTTTTGGAGCTGCTATTTGAGAAGATGGACCAACAATGGACAGGTATGGAGGAAAAAAAAGGTTATACAAGAGTTCTTTTCTCTCCGCATGAAGCAATGCTTGAGAAAATGGAGACTCTTTTTTTTTTTTCTTTCTTTTCTTTTTTTTATGTTTGAATTTGAATCTGAGTTGCTAGTGGATTATCAAGAAGCATGCTTTGTTTGGTCAGTGTCCAGTTGTGTAAAATAAGACCTGAATTGAGAATTTTTTATTTTTTTCAACAAAGGGAAATATGGGGGTGGGGATACAAAGAAAAAACAAAGAAAAATCAAGAAGGTTCTATTAGTGCTAATTTGAAGTGACTTAGGATGAACTTATGCTGCAATAAGTGTTATATTAAATTTTAATTATTCATTTAAAAATTTTAACAATTAATGTAATACTTGAACTTTAAAAATAACTCTTTAAATTTTAAAATATGTAATTGAAAACAAGTATAAAAGTTCTTTAACTTTACATTTAAGTTGATTTTTACTCATTTTAAGTAGAGCACCACAATATTTATGGAAAATTGTTCATCATACTTTGGCTAATGGTTCTGAGGTTATTGAACCAGGTTTATATGTGTGAATCATGGATTCATGCGAGACCAAAACCTAGCTGGGAGATGAGGATCAGCTCCGCGGGTCATACCTGGCCAGAAGATGAAAACGTGGATATTAGACAAGCCCCATCACGGATCACTTGTTTTTTTTATGTTTTTTACAATGATTAGAGGTTAGGAAAGTTAGAATTATTAATAAGAGGTATTGAAGTTGGATAATGGTACAATCCACTGGCTGTCTTTTGGACAGTAATGGCTACAATCACAGCAGGAAAATGTGTGAAGGATAAAATGCGTGAAGGGATGAGAATTGAACCGCACGTCCAAATAAAATGCCTTTTAACAATGGTTATGGTCGCTTGGGCCACACGGCTTCTTATCACGGATCACTTGTTGGTTGCGTGTGATTAATCAAAACTACAGTGCCTTCTGAGCGGGTAGGACACATACACATGAGGCAACTGACAACATAAATGCCTCAGAAGTACTTTTTATTTGTTACTTTTTATTTCATGGGTTTTTTTTATTATTATTGAGGATTAAAGCTAGTCCCTCTACTTTTAATTTTTGTTTATTGTCCTTCTTATACTTGCAAATCGTTCATAGGTCTTGCTCTACTCTTCCAAACATATTATTGCCGCAGTGCCTTCTGAGCAGGTAGGACACATACACATGAGGCAACTGACAACATTAATGCCTCAGAAGTACTTTTTATTTGTTACTTTTTATTTCATGGGTTTTTTTTATTATTATTGAGGATTAAAGCTAGTCCCTCTACTTTTAATTTTTGTTTATTGTCCTTCTTATACTTGCAAATCGTTCAAAGGTCTTGCTCTACTCTTCCAAACATGCTATTGCCCTCACTCTACTTCAATTTTCCATTACATTTACCTCCCTCCCCTAACACCATTACCTCCATGCTCTAACACCATTATTTGCAATAATTAATTTTTTCGGTTTTGCATTGTTTTTTTGGCTTCCATAAAATTATATGGTATTTTACTAATGCTGTCACGTGTTTCATTAATATAAATAAAAAATAGCTACTCCCATCAATTTTGTACTTGCTTTCTTTTTTGTCTTTAAATTATTATTAACAGTATTATCTTGCACAAACAATTAAATATTTAAGTATCGACTTTCGGAGAAAAAAAATTATTCACTTGCAATACTTTAAATAAGAGTCATAGGGGAAAAAACCATTAGACATTAAAAAAAAAATTAAAAATAAGGAATTTCATATAATCAAAAATAACATTAGTAATTCATCAAATTCTAAACTTAAATTGACATATTCATATCCTACTATACCAAAATTTGTATATAAAAATAAGATATTTAAAAAGAAAAAAATAAACTAAAAGCAAAACCTTCTTCTTACAGGCCAAGTTCCAAATCCGCTCACACATTTTCCAATCTTGTATTTTTCTCCTATAAGCCAGTTTTTCAGTAGCCTAACAAACATTAACATAGAATCAGATAAAAAAAAACAAATAAGAAAGTGATTTGAATAAGATCTTTATCGTTCTTGAGCTCAAGTATGTTATTCTATCAGTGATAAGCTTCTTGATGATGTAGCAAGTAGGACTGAAATGTACCCTCTCTTTGATTAACAACGAGTATGATATTGACTTTTTTATATGTACAAGTAAGGACTTTTTAATTTATTTCAATTTTTAATTTCTTTTTTTTATGTATAAATTTTGGTGCAACAGGATATGAATATATTGATATGAGTTTAGAATTTGATGAATTAGTAATGTTGTTTTTTATTACATAAAAGTCTTTTTTTTAATTCAAAAGAAAAAGTTTGATTTTTTTTGTTCTTGTGACTCTTATTTAATGTATTGCAAGTGGATGGATTTTTTCAAAAAAAATATATAAATAAAGACGTTAACTTTATATTTTTTTTATTTTAAAATGTTAACTTTATTAATTTTTAAATAAAGGTATTAATTTTTAATTTTTTCTATTTAAAGATATCAATCTTTAATTTTTTTTATTTAAATATATCAACTCTCAACATTTCGATTAAGTCATTTGTCACATTAGCATTTTCATCTAATTAATTCTTAAATAAAAAAATTAAAAGTTGATATTTTAAAGTAGAAATAGTTGAAAGTTAATATTTTAAAATAAAAAAATTAAAAAGTAACATCATTATTTAAAAATCAACAAATGTAATATCTTTAAACAAAAAAAAAATTATAAAGTTAATATCTTTAATTTTTTTTTTTCTCAAATTTTTTCAATGAAAGTTAGTATTAAAATACTGTTAATAATAATTTCGAAGGTAAGAAAGAGAGCAAGTTGAAAATTGACGAGAGAAACAATTTTTTATTTATATTGATAGAACATATGGCGCCATTAGTAGAATACTATAGAATTTATGAGGGCCACCAAAAACAATATAACAAAAAAAAATTATTGCATTTAATGGTGTTATAAACATTGTTTGGGGGGGAGGGAGTTAACAGCGTTAGGGTACGGAGGTAACGGTGTTAGGTGAGGGAGGTAAAATGTAATGAAAAATTAAAGTAGGAGGGAGGGTGAAAAACTAAAAATATAGTTTGAAAGACTACCGACAAATATAAGATGTACTTATCCCCAATGCTCAACCCTAATCAAGTCGGCCTAAATCCCGCCAGGCTTGATATCAACACATGGCCTCAAGGCCTTTTGTCTTTTACTTCTAAAGTTTTGTTTTTTGTTTTTTTTTTTTTATATTGATTGTACAAGGTAATTTTTTTTTATTTTTTATCTCATTTCATTCACATATAATACAATTTAAATTGAAAATCTCTCTTATTTTTAACGAAAAAAAAAAATTGTCAGTGAGTTATTTAAATAAGTTCATCTGCGTCTTGCCACTTGACTTAACTTCTAGGTGTTAAAAGGAAACAAATCACAGCCCATAAAACTGTGTATCTCAAATCAAGACTTCCGGTATCAAGCTTGCATGCGAAGGTCGTGAGGAGGGATGGTTCAAATAAAGATTTTAATTTTATATTTTTTTATTTAAAAATTAACTTAGTGATTATATTAACATAATAAATAGATTTTTTTTAAAAAAATATTTTTAAATAAAAAAAATTAAAAGTCAATATTTTTAAATAAAAAATAAAAATTGACATTTTTATTTAAAAATTGATAAAATTAATATCATTAAATAAAAAATATCCAAAGTTAAAATCTTTATTTATACTTTTTCACTGCCACAAGTGGGAAATCCCTCATTGAAATTGAAAAATAAATGAAAAAAAAAAGAGCACGTGTTATTTTAATTTGAAAAAGTGTTTTACAGACTAAATTATCTTTTAAGTGTAAAATATCTATCCTTAAATGAAAGAGAACCCCTAATATTAAGAGATCTTCTCTATTTATGAATTTTTATTTTACAATTTAAAATAATTTAAACTGTAAAATAACAGTATTTTTTAATTTTATAAGAGCTAATTTATCTATTGTCCATTGATATTAATTTTAAGTAAAATACTCATGCTGCAGACTTATAGAATTATAGAATTCAAAAATTGACCAAAAAACCAAAGCAAGATTAGAAAAATAGAATGTGTAAAATTAAACATGGGAAGGTTTCATTATGATGTAAGATTTAATGTTAGATTCTCTGGTTCAGCATGCATTTTTCCCTCCAAGTTAATTTCCTGTAGTATTTCTGATTAAATATTCCTGTTAATCTTTGTTCCATCATGTGTAAGACACAGATGTTCAATCCCATTACCCCACAGCACAGCTTTTAAGAAATCGGTGCCTCTTTCCTGATGCACCATAAGATTCTCCGGAAATCTGCTTCCATCAAAAACCCTTTACCCCACTTTTCATATTCTTCTTTTGAAAAAATCATTGCTTTTTCAGACTTTTCACACTTCAATTCTTTTCTTCGGTCCCTCTGTTTTTGGACTTTCCTTATCCGTGGAACCTCAAGAAACCAAACATAAAAAGTCTCAAAAAAAATAGGAACAAGAAACTGCATAAACAAGAATTAATGGGTTCTGGGAATTTTCTTCAAGTTGTGGCTAAGAACTTTGATGTCCTTGCTTTGTAAGTCTCTTTTTTAAACTTACTATCATTCTTAAATGCAGCTCCTTATATGGCTTAGACATTCGCATTTCTCAAGTTAAGAGTAAATTGTAAGACTTGAAAGGTTCTGGCATTGTCTTTGAAGTTTGATCTGTTCTTCCCTAATTAAGGTTTTTGGGTTTTTGTGTTTTCTTTGCAGGCCTCTAGTCACTCTTGTTTACCCTCTGTAAGTAGGTTTTATTCTAAAATTATGCATTATATGTGGCATTGTCCTTGTTCTGTTCCTTCCTAAGCGAGATTCCTTGATGGAGGAAGGAATGGAGCTTAGCACATACGAATGGTTTTTGTATAATGATTTGTATTATGTTTGCAGATATGCATCAATTAAGGCTATAGAGACTAAGTCTAGTACTGATGACCAGCAATGGCTCACATATTGGGTACTTTACTCCATGATTACACTCTTCGAACTCACCTTCGCCAAAGTTCTTGAATTGTACGTAAGCGATCTTGAAGCATCATTAATTCTTAGTAGCTTCTGATCTGTTTGCAGCATTATTCTTAAAGACAGGTTCCAGAGTTTTTGTTTAACGTTGTAAGTAGATAATATAGGCTATATTCTTAGATCTCGGCGTCTTCTACTAATAATTCCAATTTCTGATCAGGAGAAAATTATGTCTTACATGAAATGTTTGTATGAATTTTTTGAAGTGGGTATTTGGAATTGCAATGGCTCTCATACTCATTACTGACAACAAAAGCATGTTTTTTCTACCATGTTGTTCTGTTCTAAATGCCAGGTTCCCCATTTGGCCTTATGCCAAGTTGATCTTTTCATGCTGGTTAGTCCTACCACATTTCAATGGTGCTGCATATGTCTACCGCCGCTTCATCAGACCAGTCTACATGAACCCTCAAAGAGCAACTTCCACCATCTGGTACATGCCACGGAAGAAAGATGTATTCAGCAAGCCAGATGACATTCTAACTGCTGCTGAGAAATACATTGAAGAGCACGGCACAGAAGCATTTGAAAGGCTTATGACCAAGGTACGCCCACAATTTCTTTGTTTCATAGTGATCTATTCTAAACAAGAGCAGGGTATAAAGCTGTGATTTCGGCAAGCATTTGAACAATGTATCATCGTTTCTGTAAATTATGCAGGCTCAAAGGGAAGAAAGACCGAGGCACAACAACAACTACATGATCTTTGACGATGACTATATATACTGAAACTGTTGTATCTGTATAAATGATGTTTGTTGTTGCTAGTAGCAACTTTCTTATTTGATTCTATTTGTCTTGAACTAAAAGATATGCTACATCTCACTATATCATGGTATGGAATATTACTGCTCTTCCTTCGTGGATAAGTAAACTGGTCTATCTCCTGTTATTGTTGGTTCAATTTCATTATAATTATGGAAATGGAATTAATTAACATTGAAGCGTA